GGACTCCGGCGGGAACCCCTGATCCAACATGGGCTACCAACCAACCAACGTCCATGAAATGGGATAGGATGGGCTTTTAATGGCAGCGAAGGTGTCTAACGGTCAAATATCAAATGCTGATCAATACATCCTTATCCGAGCGAAAACCACATTTATTCCGGTGAATGCTCATCGTGGTACAAACAGCATTTATTGAGGTGGATGATTACGTGGGCTTTACAGACAATTTCAAGAGGTTTATACCCCCGTGGCTCTTACATACTTCCTCACCTTTCGATAGGCGTATCGGTGGACACGCGGCCGTCTATAGGGACTGTTTATGCAGCCGGCAAGGTAATGTTGTTAAGCGGCACTTGTAGATATCTGCTGGAAGGCACTACTTGCCAGCTGTTTAGTTGTGCTTCCGTCTTGTTATCGCAGCAGTAATAGATATCATTACTTTCGTTTCGCATATGCTATTTGTTGGAGTTTAGCCAAGGTGAAAATGCTTTTCTTTAGAAAACTGTTCCTGTCCACGTCCTCAATTATTTTTGAAATAATCCCCATACCTGAGTTGAATTTTCCCTATAATGATCATAGTTAACGATTTTTTATGCACACTTGAAGCGGTAATATATTGGTTAGATACGTGATGATGACACACGCTGATAAGAGTTTAATCTTGATGTTGCTTTAGAAGCCACAAACTATTGGCTATCCACATACTAGTAAATCCGAAAAAAACTTGACCGATGGTAATGCACTGCTGGCTGCCGACCTATCTGTTACACCAATAATATGCGGTGTGTACGCTCTTTTTTGCGCTTGATCATGATGCCAGTCTCGAGTATGATTGACTGGATGAGCGATGTAATGGTCGGTAATGGCTGCTGTTTCAGTGTCCCCTACCTTTTTCGATCTACCCCTGTACTTAATTGCTTGGACTTGTTCTTGCCTGGTGGGCGGTGGTGAACGACTATTCATTTATTAGTAGTAGAATTACGAGTAATTAGTCCTTGTGCATAAGTGAGTGTGCAGCTGCTAAGGAAGGAGATTGATGCATGTCCAGGCTATTCTTAAATGAATTGGAATAGGTAGAGAGAAGAAAATTTTCGGGCAGAGCAGTCCATTCTGTAACAACTGTTACTCTGGAAAAACTCACTTCCATCAATCCTTGCGTAGTTTTAGGGATTGACTGCGCAAAGTGGGTGTTAGCCTAGATAAAACAAATGTGGAAACAAAGCAACAATCCAGGCCACTCATAATTCAGAGGGTTAATATGTAATCTTGTAGAAAACGAGGACTAGGTTGAGAGTTGACAATCTGTTCTCAGCAAGGTTAAAATTAATAAAAGAGCTAGAAATGCAGTGTTTTACTAGCCTACCGAGCCGGCTATTGTTTTTAGATGTGTTAGATTTCGTGAGAGCTTTACGCGGCATCGGTGGATGTATTGTAGCAAGTCCCACGTCACCTCCGGTCGTCCAGGTCAGCGAAAACTTCACTGAAACTTTTAAGATCAGTTGTACGTTAGTGTGTTGGGTTATCTAACACATCAGTGCTAGGGTTGATAGTTCAACCTGCCCTCTGTAATGATTCAGCTGCTCCCAGTTTTGGCAAGCGCGTCTACCGTAAAACACGTACAATGTAATTTTTTCGTCATCGATGGACACTCGCGCAAAGGCTCTTCTCTGTGCGTAATCTCTTTTTACTTTTTCCTCCACTTTAGCCATAAATGATTCTTAGCAAGAAAGCGAAGCTGGCTGAGGCCGATGAAAGTATGGACGAACTCCCAAGTAGTCTTCCTTCAGTGCCTGCAGTGGTACGTTTCAGTCCAAACTGCAACGTTTTCTCATTCAGCATACAGAGCAACTGTAATTCTCTCCTTGTTGTATTTAATTTTTCAGAAGCTCACAAAAACGAAGAAACGAAACTTGAGGAAGAAGGAGGTCAAACAGCTAAAAAAGGCGGAAAAGGCAAGCCGACCTCAGAAGCCAGCTCTCGTAAGTCGTTTGATGATCAAGTCGATTTTGGATCAAAAAGGACTGCGCAACCCATTAGTGGCCTCATGTCAGTCATTTTTTTATTCCCTTACTTGACAATACGGTGGTTGTTGGGCAAGTATCAAGCTGAATAACGTTAATCTGGTGTTCTTTATGATTCTGGTAATTCTGGTGGCCTGCTTGGTGGGCATTGCACCATCGCCAGTGGATTTAATTTCTTTGTTATGAGTTGTAGTTGATCTTTCGCCAGTACGTATTGCACACTGTTTTCGTCGAAAAAGGCTTTGTTGCCGGAAATATCATTTGTTAACAGAGTAAAATACTTCGGAGACTGACTTTGCCCAAAATTGTAGGTCGTTGTTCCTGGCAAAGAGCCTTTACCTTTTTTTCCCTTTCTAGGAGCCTCGATTGCCGGCTACCATAATCCCGCCGAAACCTGCAGATCGAGGAAAGTTTTCCGATGCCGATGCCCTCCTTACCGAAATTAAACGTCGCCTCGGTAAGTAATCTTGCAGTCATTACTTGTAATCGCATTGGCTTGCATAGATGCGTATTTAGCTTGCTTTCGAGTTCACGCCATCGCAAAGTAGCGCGAACCATATCCACTGCTCGTCAATTATGCTCTCAGCAGACGTAGTTTGGAGCCCGTGGCTCATAGTCGTCCCTTAGCAAAACCGCACTTTGTCCACAATCACCACCACCACCACTGAGCTAACTGAGATGGGAACCACAGCAGACGCGTCTTCGACCGCGTTCCCACCCGCCCTCACG